GAGTCTATTTCTTTCCATATTTATAGTAACAGTTACGACTAACCTCCATCTTGAATACATTGGTATTCACCAGTCCTTCGCGCGCGAACCACGCAATTTGTTCGAACGGTGGGAAAATCTTAATGTAAAAAAAAACAAATTCAAACTGTAGTGAACTTGAACATGTATACAATTCTAAATTTGGTATAAATAATGATTGAAAAACAGATTTTTATTACATTTGATAAGTGATAAATAAAAACCTATATTCAAGAACCCAGTGCGTAGCGTAAAATTTCACTAAGCACCATTTACATAAGAACCAGTTCAGGCTAAATTTGAAAAAATAGGTATAAGCGGGTAAGTACTGTACAGGGTCTGCATGAAGGAAAATGATTTTTTTTTCATAGATAACATGACGTCATTGCGTATTCTACTGGTGGTGGTTGTGTGTATTGTCACCGTGAAGGCTTCCATTCGACAAGGTAATAAAATTCGCCTCATGTAAGAGAATTCAGAATCCAGTAAAAAAAAACAGTTTTGAAATCTGGAATCCGTATCCTGGAATCCGGCCTGGAATCTAAATATAGAATACAGCAAAAAATTTAAAATGCAAAAAACACATCCGAATCCAAAAACAAAAATTATTTGAATCCGGAATCCGAAATCCGGTGATGATAACATGACCGAAAAACCAGGTACTAAAAACAACATGGATTTTATTTCTAGGAAGCCATAACGGAGGCAGACTACAAAAGTCACGAGAGAAGCACGTGAAAAAGCTTATACAAGAGCTAACGCAACTAGCCATAGAGGAAGAGGGAAAGACAATTGAAGGATACCAAGATTCGGAGAACCCAGAAAAGCGGTCTTGTAGAAACTTATTCAAAGGTGGAAGGTGTCAGTTGTTACGATGGTTTGGTAAAAGTTGTAAGGGCAAAAGAATGAAAAAGATGTGTAAGGCAACTTGCGGTCTGTGTTAATTCAGGTTAGTTGCGGCTTTGACGAATATTTTCAACGTTTTCCTGATACAGACCTAACTAATAAAACATTAGTTTTGTATCATTATTCAAAGCCGCCCTCAACTTTAAGGTTGCTGCACCTTTTACTCAATATAAAGGTATAATAATCACGTGATTAGAATCTCAGTATATCATCGGCTTATGACGTTATGAATTATCAATGAGTTTGATATTAATTATTGATATATGTTTTTCAGTGAATTAAAATTAACGAATCATGCTTTATTATAATAATAGCATGGCTCTGAGGGAGATTAGGGATTAAATGTCCCCGAAAACGAGGGCAGATAAGTTGAAGTCCCGACACAATTTCTGTCTCCGCACCTGATCCTCATGCATGTTCTGGGTACTGGAAAAACCTTTTCAGTCTTTGGTCACAGTCAACCATATAATATGAAATAAATACCAGTTAATCTCTTACATGTGTCATCGTCGTAGTATCAAGGCAACTCGGATGAGACCAGAATCGTATCCAGTCGCTTCTCTTACTCGTTTTACCAGTCACGTTGCATCAAGTGAACTTCCCTTGATACTTTGCGCGCGCGCCAGAGATTAAAGAAGAGTAACGACAGAGTAAGAGTCTGGGACGGACACTAGTGAAAAACACCTGGCCTGCGCATGTCTTCAGCTTTCCCGCCAGTGAGCGCGCGCGTCTTGAAATCTGTTAACCGAGCGCCTGCCGATACAGCGACAACACAGAAAACACTACGAAGATTTCTCAAAGTAGAAATAACGAGATAAAAGTAGAAACTACATACTAAAAGAACATATCATGAACAATTATGGAAGGAAATATGAATCTTATAGATAGGTCTTATAAATTGTAAAAAAAATTATCAATCGCCAGTCGCTCTATTTACAAAGAAAATTGGGCAGATTTCAAGACGCGCGCGCTCACTGGCGGGAAAGCTGTGGACGTGCGCAGTGCGTTTTTCACCAGTGTCTCTAGGACGAGATTTCATAACGCATCATTGTTATTCTGTTTTAGATGCCAGAAGCAAACAAGATCAGCTGAAGATAGATAGTTCGTGAAATAACTATTTCCCGTATAGCCCTTCTTGTGTAATTGACAACTTTCACTTTGTGGCAGAATAAACGTCTTCTCATAATGGAAACATGCAACTTTTTTTATTATATCCATCGGTCAAATGAAATCCCGGCCAACAAGTCCCTGGTGGAAAAACAGAAGGGGAGGGAGTAGGAGAAAAAGGTCATCCCCTTGAAACTTAAACTAGACGATCAGCGATCGTTTACATGGGCTTCCTTTGGTATCACAAACAGTAAACAAAGAATTGTATTATATTGAGACCTAATAAAGTTAATATTACTAGAGTGCTCGCACTTAAAGCGTGAAACAAATAGTACTAATTACTACTTTACTCTGAAAAGTGTTGATTATACAATAGGAAACAAAGGAATTTGTATAATTTATCACCTATTTTGTAGTATTTATATTTCACGCATCTAGTGCGAGCACGCTAAGACTAAAGCAAAAATATTTCTTTTAATGAAAAATAATAAAACAAGCAATGTAAGACTTAGCATTAATATTGTGAAAGAAATAAGCATTTTTGACGAGCCCTCCCCTCGTAAACACAGATCGAGGCTTTCATATTCCTCGCTTAAAAATACTCCCAATCAACTCGTTTTCCTCACTGTTGGCATTCCTTTGATAAGTCCTTTGTGATTGCAGAGCCTGTATAAGTTAGTATATAATTCGCTTTTGTTTAATAGATAAYTCACGATAGGCAGATTCACGATAAATTCGAGGTATCTCTACAAACTAGTCGTTTACCCGTGAAAAATTCACGGGAGCTAAATCAGTTTTAAAAAATGAAGTCGTGGATTTTTAAAGTAAATTACCCCTTGAGTAAAAAAATCGTTTCATTTTTTGGAATTTCTTCAATCTGTGCGGCTAGTACACTTGCTACTTCCATAAATTTATGGGTTAAGTATTTGCAGTGTCAATTAACTTCAGTAACTGAAATTATTTCATGAAAAAAAAGTGATTTCGTTATAAAAGTTTTTTTCTCGATTCGTTAGATTTAACAATTAGACCTCGAGGTCGAGTGGACTACGAGCTAATAGCCCATGAGGCCGAGTCCGCGAGGCCGAATGGGCTATTAGCTCGTAGTCCACGAGGCCGAGAGGTCTAATTGTTTTAGTATAAACATACTAGTCGGTCAAATGATGAAAACAAATTGAAATATCCTTAAAATAATTTATAATTTATTT